GGAAGCCTTCAAATGTCTTTTTGTTCTTTTAAAATTAGCATTTTGAGTTTTCCATTCTTAAGGCAGCCACAATGATCAAAAAGTAATCTCTTCTTTAGACAGAAAATTTTTTTCTCTAAGAAAAATTCCATCTCTTCCTCAAGATTAGCCCCCAAATATTAAACTTGGGCTAAAGCAGCCAATTCTTTTCCTGACGATGACCAAAAAAGAAAATGGAGAGTTTGTTTTATTAAAGGCTACTCAAGTCCAAAAATTTTTGTTTGATCTCTCAAAATTTATGTTGTTCACAATATTTTTCAAAAAATACTATAACAACAAAACATTGATTTGGATTAAAATTATATGTTTCTTATATTGTTAGTTCATTTTATTTGAATGTAATAGTTAAATCACAAGTTGCATATCTTGCTCAAAAATAAGCTATTGTTTTAGGACTACATACAATGTTAAATGAGAACACTACAAAGCTAATTGATTCTGGAATTACATAAACATCCCCTAATCTTAGTATTAAATTGATTTATTTTAGGAACACATTTCTAAAATTAGGGAAAAAGTGTTTTGAATTGCCTTCCAGTATGAAATAGTAAAGATTTGTAAATGTATGCATAATCAGTAAAATCATTTTATTAGTCAAGCTTCTGTTTCCTTGGCAGAAAACATTCCAGCTTGGCTCCACAAGCCAGCATAACCACACCTGTTGCAGTAAATAATAAATCTGAAAGTATTGATTGACATTTAATTTCAGCATCCTCGAAACATTCCATGGAACTTTCTATTTCCAATAAACAACTATGATCGTTAATAATATGCTTGGGTAAAACAAAGAAAATGAGGTTATTTCTTTTCAGTTATAAAGCTAAGTTTTAGAAAACATCAGAGAAGGGGTCCAACAGATCTATTTTTAATATTCAATACAAGTTAGAGCTCATATTTTATTTTGGTCCAGGATTAAAACAAATTTTGCTTGGAGATAGTATTTTACTTCAGCCTTTCCACATTGGGACTTTTCTACTTCTCATTGTTTGTGATGCTTTTCTAGAAGGTGCACTTTGTTTTTTTAGCTAACATCTGCTCCTCTCTTGTTCTGGTGACACTTTCAACATGTGGTTGCTCTGAGATTGTTCATGAGATCTGACAAGATCACCAGGACCTTACTTGAGAGTGGTCAAAAAGAATGAGTTTTGTGAAGACTCCGCTCATGTTTTTCTGAAAAATGACCTTCAAGATAAAATACAGAAAGCAAAACTCAGTAATTTGGTTGATGCAAAGCAACGAGACAATGTTGTGGCAATTATTTTTAAATTACTGATTAAACTTTATAAAATGAAAAGATTTTTTTTTAAGGCAGACATAGGTCTTTAAGGAATCACAGAGTGCCGTTATTGAATTAAAATATTAATTTGAACATATTTTTCAAATATGCTTCAAATTCTAAGTATCTGCAATCACAAATATTCAATGTTTTTAAAGATGCTTATATAATATGTAGGCATACATCAAGAAAATTAGTAGGATTAGATATTGCTACGAGCAAAGCAATGCCCTTTTCCTAGCTATTGCTTTCCGATTGAGTAAATTATTAAAATAATTGTTTGAACTTATATTTTACTCATGGTTGAGGCTAGAATAATAAGCCAGTGTATTGATAGTGTTGATTTGTTTTGGAATTATGTATCTGATAATAGAAACACCTCTAGAAGCAAGTTCCCTAATGACATCTCAAATGATTGTTTAATTTTCCATAGTAGAAGGGTATCATGGTAGAAAGAATAACAAACAGAGCTGCTTTCAGACAAGGAACAATTTATTTAAATTATTTTCTTTTTAGTTAATTATTTCTAATATATTTATTTTGAAGGAGATGAAGATATTAAGAAAGCTTTTTTTTATTTTTTGGTAAATGATAAAAAAAACCTAACACTTTTTAAAATCACATATACGTATATATATGTGTGTGTGTGTGTGTCTATGTGGCTACTTCAACCACATGGAACAGAATATGTATATGGATTATGCATATATATATATATGCATAATCCATATGATTGAAGTAGCCACATTGAGGATTAGATTAGAGTTAGAAGTTATCTGCAGTTAACCTGACAAATGTTGACTGTGACTAAATGAGCAAAGAGAATTTGAATGTACAGATAATTTCGACCAAAGAATATGCCAAACTAGTCAGGTAATAAAGAAAGTTTGGTGAGCTTGAAAGTTCCAAATATTTTTCACCATCTTTTTCCTGTAGGTACATGTTTTAAGACTTGAATTTCAGCTTTCTCAAAAATATAACATTGAAACAGTGTTGATGTGCTGCATAGGAAATTTTGATGAGACTTGCATCTGTGGACAACATCAGTGTGCCTAAAAATGCAAGCAATGATCTTGGTCAGTATCGCCTTTAAATCATCCATTTAATGAAAGAAACATTGTTTTTTGGTTTTCTCAATCTTTGGGTAGCCTTTTAAAATCCGTATCATCTTCAGATCTGCAAACAGCCATTATTATCATGGCCTTTTCATAGAACTAAAACATATGTCTACAGGGAATGATGACCTTCCCATGAATTAGTGGCTTCAGGCATCATAATATATGTTTTAAAAAGAGTGGCTAGCAAATACCATGCAAACATTTTGTAGGGTTTTTTTATCCCTTTCCACTTCAATGCATTTATTTGAAAACTGCTTATTTGCCTGAATATGCCCTGCTGGCAGCATTTTTATACCAGATAGCTACTTTTTATTGTGGATGCACATCATGTATAACAGCTTTATTTGATGGCAAATGAGATGCCCCAAGTTGCAAGCTTTCGATAAACATATCTGAATTGTTCAATTTCCTTCTCATTGTATAATTTCCACCCTGGCCCTTTGCCTGCTGATATTCAGATAAAGATTTCATTCAAGTCATTTTCAAAACAGTCCTGTGTTCTTTGCTATCATAAGTGGTAAGATTGCTCAATTCATATTAGCCATAATACAAGTGCTGCACAGGTTTCTATCAGATACTTCCAAAATCATTTCTTTGTCATGAATGGTAACGAGAATAATAAAATAATGCCTCTGGTTGGGTTTCCAAACACTGGTGGTTTATTAGCAATAGAATTAGTAATGCGAACATGAAAAGTCACTTTTCTAAGGAACATAATTTAATGAATTATTTTGTTTCCTTTTCTTTCATGTGTCCTAACATGGATTTGGAAATTATGATTGCTGATTGATTCCAAATGACTTGGGCTTTTGTTTCTCAATTAGGTAAGTGATTCTGATTCTTTGATATTCTAAGAAGTCCATGGTTGTATTTTAAAATGAACATGCACTGCCAATTTGCACTGTTGAATTTTCTGGCAAAATAGGGTAAAATTGAACATATGACAAATCATCATCTTCAGAAGTATACTTCAGATCTTTTTCATTAGTTGGCATGGAAAACAGACTAACAAGAAGACCCAGTTTGCGCTGTACCTAATCACAGGAACCATATGTTCAAAATCAAATAAGCCCTTTTCAGGGGCTAGCTTTTGGTTTTTAAAGCAGCTTGGTCAGATTTTGCGCATCAAGTTCTAGGTCATACTAGACGATTTACTAATCATATTACTGTATGACTTACCCAGCTATAAGAATGCATTTCATATGGCAGCTAGTAACGGCTTGATACACAGTAATTAGCTAACAGTTTTCCTGATCTCAGAGACACTAGGCGGAAAAGAAGCTTAGCTTTAGATTCTGTGGTATCGTCACTTGTAGAGTTGGGATCAGCAGTCTGTGGGCCAGATCTGACCAACTATGAGTGAAGAATGCTCTTGACAGTTGTTAATCGTTGACCAAAAAAATCACAAGAAAAATAATATTTCATACTGTGTGAAAATAATGTGAAATTCAAATTTTGCTGTTCAAAAGTAAAGTTTTACTGGAACATAGCCATGCTTATCTCTTCACATATTGTCTATTGCTGTTTTCATACCACAATTGTATGGCCCACGAATCCTAAAACATTTACATTCTGGCCCTTAACAGAACAAGTTTACTGACTCCATTGCTTGAGCACCAGCATGTAAGAGGTTAATTCCCTGAACCTCTTACTTTGGAGATACTATTAGAGCAGAGGTGAAATCATTATATAGCTGACCTTTTCTTCAGTCACAAGGGAATCCACCATATCTAAAATGACCAGGTCAGAACAAATGGAAGAACAACCTTGACTGTAGATTTAAATTTTCCTGAAACAGTCTTTTACATAGTTATATTTCTCGTACATTTTAAGCTCTACAACATTGAACCCATTAAGTCTAATTTATTTTACTGCTAGCAGGTCTTTGAGCTTGCCCACAGATATTCAAAGTCCCATAGTTGATGGGAACTGGGGAAGTGACATTTTGTGGCTAGTGAAGCAGCAACACATTGTATAATGAAAAGTAATATCCTCAAACTTTTAAATAGTCCTCAAGGCTCTGTGTCACCAAAGAGAATACCAGCATTCTATAGGCATTGCCTGTTCTGAGTTATATTTGACCATGTTGGAAAAGTGTAATATTCATTCCTGTAATGTAGCTTAGCATCTAAAACAACACAAGCAAGTACAGTTGTGCTTTTTGGAATAGATTTCGCAGAATTTTTCAGAGGCCACATGGAGCGTGAGTGGTTATATACATATTCTAATTTTAAAAACTTTAAAAATAATTATACATATATTGTGGTTCTTTTCATGTTGGCATTTATCAGAAATAGATGCATTTGTAGTTAGATAAAGAAAGAAATAAAAGAGAACAAAGAAAGCATATTCTTGGGATATGGCAAGAAAGAGCAATGTAGAAATTGCTGGATATTAAGAATATGCATTATCTTCTAGGTTTAGGCCACTGGGAAATAAAGCTTCCGTGCGTGTATTTGATGTATAATGACAGGCACAAAGAAAAAGGCAAATATACTATAGATATTCTAGTACGGTACAATTATACACTATGTATTGTAACCCTTTTCATGAAAATTTGACATTACTGCACCTCAGATAGAAGCAGCAGGAATCACCAGGGAAAGAACAGCTGGATGCTTTATTAGGTTTTATGTTGTACATAAGGAGACCGTGTTTTCCATTGTCAGCGTGTAAAAGAAAATGAAAGCTCTGGGCATCATTAAAGCCTCGCAAGCGTAAGATGTGTCAGCTCCATCCTCTCAACACCTGGATTGAAAGCACAGTGTGAGGTCACTGTAAAACAAAAACAGACCACCGGCTCTGGTTGGAAGTCCGAGAGTTGATTTTTAAAAATAAAATAATCCATAATTGTTGCAGAGAGAATTCTTCCTTTGTAACTAGATGGTTACATGTATGGACATAAACTTATATGTCTACCTGAAGACATTCTCTATAAACTGCTCCTGAATATCTTTTCCCCGCACGTTAAGGGGCTCTATCTAGGAGGCTTCTTGGAGTCAGAGAGCTAGAAGGCTCCCCATTTGCGGGCATCACGATATTGTACTTTTGATGAACATTTCTCCCTGGCTTTTCATTTGCCTCCTTCTGTGGAACCATTTTTGTTGACACCCCCCACCCAGCACTCACATGATATTCTCACTGGTGTGATCATTGTGTCCCTTGTTATAAGTACGTTGATGTTGGAGCCATATTACCTTATACCTTTGTGTATTCTGCAAAGCTCATCACTGCGTTCCTTATATTGCGGTTGCCTTTAAAGTGCTATATTAGTTGGCTGAGACTAGTGCAACAAAATACCATAGGCTAGGTGGTGTAAACCATAGACATTAATGTTTTCACCTTCCTGGAGGCCGCAAGTCTGAGACGGGGTACAGGCATGGCCAGGTTCTGGCAGGGTCTGTCTTCCTGGCTTGCAGATGGTGCCTTTTCTCTCTGTGTTCATGTGGAAGAGGAGATAGATAGATGGAGAGAGAGAGAGAGAGAGAGAGAGAGAGAGAGAGAGAGAGAGAGAGAGAGAGAGAGATCTTTCTTATAAGACCATAATCTTATTGGATAAGGGTGTTGCCCTTATGACCTCATTTAGCTGTAATTATTGCCTAAAGATCCTATTGTCACATTGTGGGTTATGGCTTTAACATGTAAATTTGAAAGAATACAGTTCAGTCCGGATCAAGTACCTTTAACAGAAATTAAGTTACATAATCGGAAGAGAGGACTGAATATTTTTCTGTTCACATGAAGTATGTATAAGAGCTCTTTGCCTATAGTCTTTAGCCACCTCTGTTTCCTCCAAGCGTTTCTCATATAAAATCTAGTAAATATAAAAATGTGTTTCAAATGTGAAAGGAGGTTCTATGGCCTGGTGCTAATCTCTACTCTTATCATCTTAAAAAATATACAAGAGACTTACCATTGATTTAATTAATCACTCAGTAATCCACTTATTTATGTATTTAACATTGATAAGTTGCCCGATCATATGCAGGAGAGATACAGACCAAGGGGCTTAGGAGCTAAAGAATGACCTGACAACATTGTCCCCTTTAGGAACTCCTAGGTGGCAAGAAAGAGTCTCAGAGCAATATGTCAAGTGCTTAGAATATAATTTGCTCTTAAAATAAAAATGAAACAGTGCCTGCAGTCTTCTGTAAATTACAGAATTTTCAATGATTATAGCGTCTGATCATGAGGTTGAGTTTGACAGTTGATGAAAGACAGGAAGAATGACAAGTACATAGCAAACACATGGGTGAATAAGAGAGCTTTCCTGCAGGGTCTGCAAACCATTTATGCGGGACAAAAATGAAGAAAATGCACTGCTCTAAGTTTTTTTTTTAATTGAGCTTCTACTGCGTGTCAGGTTCCAGGTTATGTGAGTCAGCATGGAGTGGTAAATGAGAATAAACTCCCTGTTCTTAAGCTAATTTTCAAAGGTGAGGAGATAATTAGTAAATGATTAGCAAATAAGTGACCTTGAGCCTCCTTTTGTGGTCAGAAAGGTCCTCGTGAAAAGATGACAAGATGTTTGAGGTAAATTGGAATGACAAAAATGAGTGCCAGGTGAAGATACAGGTATACAGAACAGCTCCTTTCATATAGCAAAAATAGTTTTATCGTAAAATATATGTTACATTAACTTTGCTTTAAAATATGCAAGAAAAAACGTGGGAGGATGTAATTGAACATTTGTGTCCCGCAAAATTCATATATTGAAATTCTAATCCCCAAGGACGGTGTTAGCGGGTAGAGCCTTTGGCAGGTGATTAGGCCATGAGGGCAGAGCCCTCATGAATGGGATTAGTGTCCTTATAATAGAGGCCCAAGAAGCTCTCTAGTCTTTTCAACTAAGTGTGGACACAGCAAAAAGATGCCATCTGTGAACTAGACAGTGGGCTCTTTCTACACTCCAATTTTGCCAGTGACTTGATTTTGATTTCCCAGCCTCCAGAAGGTTTAAGAAGTAAATTTCTGTTGTGTATAATCTACCCAGTATAGAGTGTTTTTATTAAAGCAGCCCAAATGGACTAAAACAGAAAATAAAAAAAATAGTAAGATCCATGTGAGGTGAGGCACTGGTACATCAGTAAGGAATTGGCGGGTTGTTAAGGACAGGTGATGAGTGCTTAGGAATCCGTGATAGAATTTTCTCTCATTTCATGTATCTTTGAAAATATCAATATTAAAAGGGTTTTTTTTTGTCTCAAATGCTTTCCCTATGAACATACTGTTTCTTCTTGGTATTATTCCTTATTTATTAAAATAATATAAAGAACATTATGATAAACGATTCTTGAAAGGGACTGCATTCATGATCTACTTCAGATGACAAATTACTCCAAAGCTTAGAGACTTAAACAACAGTAAGCATTTATTATCCCTCACAGTTGATGTGGGGCAATAATTTGGGGTTTTAGCCTGGGAAACACCCTTAAAAAAACCATAAAAACTCTTATGAGATTTGAGTTAAGATGTCAGTCAAAACTACAGTTGTCTAAACCGGCTTGACTCGGTGAAGGATTTGCATCAAAGGTGATTGACTCAGAATTGACTAGCTGATGATGTTGGCTGGTGGCAGGAGGCCTTAGCTCCTCCCTGCTGGGTCTACCACAGGGCCACTTCTGTGTTCTTATAGCATGGTGTCTGGCTTTTTCTGAAGCAATCCAAGAGAAGGTAGAAACATGACAGGCTTGGAAATTGCATACCCTTACCATGCATTATTTTATTGGTCATAGATGTTAGCTCCATTGAAAGTGAGAGGGGACTATATAAGGACATGAACACCAGGAGATGGAGATAATTGATGGACATATTGAAGGCTAGCTGCCACAGGGAGAAACAGTATATTTAGTATTTAAATTAATAATCTTGACATCATGCTCACTGAATTGATGCCCCCCAAAATAAATCCCTCATTAATTTGTTGTTTTCAACTCATAACTCACAAAATTATCTTTAAACCTCTGTATGCATATTTAGATTTTAGAGTATCCACTTACATAATGATGTCTTTCTTCTGATCAGGCACTTGATTAGCTGTATTTAATGGAATAATGATATTAAACAACTTTGTAAATCAAAAGGTGAAAATATATGCCTAGAATAAATTATCAAGACTTTGTCCAGTATAATTGGTGGTGATTATTTTCCAGTATACTCTTCAATTTATTATAGTAATAATCTTTTCAACCCATTAACAGTCAATTTGCTCTGTGATATTAAAATGTCAGCCACATTATTTGCCTGTTACTGTGGGTTAAATGTTAATTATGCTGCTGTACGGTGGCTAAGATGGTGCATCGAGAAATTACACATAATATTGGTTGGTTCTTTGGCCATCACACAGTAATATGCTTCATTATTATTGTGCTAATTTTAGTAATTTGAGTATGAAGCACATCCTATTCTGTGTTACTAAAACAAAACTACCCATGATATATGGCTTGCAACCAAATGTTAGACTCTTTTGGCTCTATCATTTAGGAGCAGTTTACGTGCCTAAGCAAGTAATGATTCTGCAACTCTCAAACTAGCATTTAGTATATTTAGAATCATTGTTTAATATATTTTAAACATTTGTAGGTAAAAATAGAATCCCTTTTAAAGCAAATGTAAGTCATGATTTTTAAGCAAAAGGTACATTTAAGCTTCATGAGCACAGTGATTATGAATACGACTATGATTATTACTCCAATTGTACTGACAGCAGAATGGCATATCAGCCTTCTCCCTGGGTCCAGTTTCATTACCACCCATTCCACTCTTACAAAACTATTTAAAATAACACTTAGCAGTATTTTGTAAAATAGTTTGCATTAGTTTCCTATCTCTGTGTAACCTGCTGTCACAAACTTAGCAGCTTAAAACAATATCCATTTATTATTTTACATTTCTGTAGGTAAGAAGTCTAGGCTCAGCTACTTTTCTGGTGTAGGTTCACATGCCTGAAATCAAGGTGTTGGCCTTTCTAGAGATTCTACAGATTCATCAAGGTTGTTGGAGGAATTGCGTGTCTTGCAGTTGCAGGACTGAGATTCCTGTCTTCTTGGCAGCTGTTGGCTGGGCTGCCTGCATTCCTTGTCAGATAGCCCACTTCCTCCATTTTCAAAGCCAGCAACGAGTATCAAGTCCTTTTCAAACTTAGAATCTCTGTTGCATCCCTTTCTCCTTTGTCCTTTCTCCTTTCTGGCAGAGAAGTTTCTCTCTTCTTAAGGGCCCATGTGATTAGATTGGGCCTACCTGTATGATCCAAATAAATCTCATTTTACGGTCATTGGTAAGTAACCTTAATTCCAACCGCAGAGTCCCTCCACAGGAGTACCTGAGGAAGTCACTGTAGGAAAGGAATCTCCAAGGGATATTTGGAATTCTGCTTTCCACAGTGCTGTTGGTTGATTTGAAACTTAGGAGTAAGTTTTTCTCCTGAGTAAATTTCTACTCCTGAGTAATTGAACTCAGGAGAGCCCATTCAGAAAAAGTTGCATTTAAATTGAGTTCTCAGTGACACAAGTAATCATAGAAAGATAAAGAGAGAAAAAAAAAAAAAAAAAGACCATGCTAATTGCCAGTACAGCGTAAAGCCTTAAGGTTCATATTTGATTTATCCGAAAGCCCATAAAGCATACCACTAAAACCAAAACAATAGGAATATAATTATCTTGCATTCTAGACCTTAAGTATTATAAGTATATATTAATAAATAAGCAGATATCATGATTTGCCCTTCCATGTTCTTAAAACACTGTTGTAGCATTTTTCCCTCTTTCCTTCCCTCTTACGGAATCATTCCCATCAGCATAGGACTATAATGTTATTTCTCTGATTAAAAAAAAATACAAGAACCTTTATTGTGTCATTTCTACCCTTATCTCTCCCTATCTATATTTTCTGCCCACAATTTTAATTTTTTTCTTAAGCCTCGTCTATAATTCCGCCTTTTCCCCCAAATATTCTATACAAACCGCCCTTATGACCCATGGCAACTTTCACGTTACTAAATATGAGAGCCTTGTTTGAGTATTCATCTTAATAGACTCCAAATTAGTATTTAACGCAGGTGATCACACTGTCATCATTGATACACTTTCTTCACTAGGTTTCCAGAACAATCAGCCTTGCATTGTCTTTTTCCTGTCTGCCTGGCAGCTCCTTCTCTCATATATGTGTTAGTTTCACCTTCTTGCCCAAACCCTTTCCTTACAGTGCTACAGCTCAGGGTTTTTATACCTCATTTTCTATCTTAAAGTACTTCCCTACCCTCTCTAACTGTACTCCTAGGATTTCTACTTTTCTTTATAAAACCTGCTCCACCCAGAGTTTTCTACCCAATTAAACCCTAGATCTTTGATTTTATTCACCTTTCTTTCTTTTTTCAAATTCACCTTTCACCATAGGAAAGGGCTAATCCCAGACAAGGGTCCTGATCCAGACCCCAAGAGAGAGTTCTTGGTTCTTGCGCAAGAACCAATTCAGGGTGAGCCCACAGAGTAAAGTGAAAGCAAGTTTCTTAAGAAAGTGAAGGCATTTAAAGAATGGCTACTCCACAGACAGAGCAGCCCCAGGGTCTGCTGGTTGCCCATTTGTATGATTATTTCTTGATTATATGCTAAACAGGGGTGGATTAGTCATGCCTCCCCTTTTTAGACCATATGGGGTAACTTCCTGATGTTGCCATGGCATTTGTAAACTGTCATGGCGCTGGTGGGAGTGTAGCAGTGAGAACCACCAGAGGTCACTCTCATCGCCATTGTCATTTTGGTGGGTTTTGACTGGCTGCTTTACTGCAAGCTGTTTTATCAGCACGGTCATTATGATCTTGTGCCAACCTCCTATCTCATCCTGTGACTTAGAATGGCTCACTGTCTGGGAATACACCCAGAAAGTTTCAGCCTTATTTTACCTAGCTCCTTTTTAAGATGGAGTTGCTCTGGTTCATATGCCTCTGACAAAGCTGTTTGTTTTATTTCCAGAATATATGCAGATTACATTTATTTCCTTTGCCACTGCCTAAAGTCAAGCAAGCACTTACATTATCTTTCACCTGAATTACGGCAACCCCCTCCTAACGGGTCTCCCTAATCCTGCCCTGGCCTTCACAGCATTGGTGCCCGCCACATCTCTGACCTCTCCCCTGTTAGTCTCTCCCCAGTGCTAAGTCCTCATTATCTTCCTGGCTCTTTCTTGCAGATGCACCACCTGTTGGCTCTGCTTCATTATATTTTCCAACAGATATTCATTTGTCCAGCTCTCTCACTTTCTTCATGTCTTCCCTCAAAAAGCTTCTTCTCCAAGAGGGCTCTCTTATCACCCCACTTTACATTGCAATCCCCTGTTCGTACCTGAGGTTTTGTATTCCCCTTTCCTGCCTTGTTGCGTCTTCTCACGCAGCTAGTATCAGCCCAGCCTCTAAATTCTGTGTGAGAAGATATTTCTGTCTGCATTTTTTCACTGTCAGTGCTAGATGAGAGCCTGGAATATACTAGGTAGTCAATATATAATACTGAGGAAAAAAAGAATAAAACATGAAAGGACATTGATAAATGGCACCTTTAGGTGCCGGCTAAAACCCTTTGAGGTAGATAGTACATGCATTATTTTCTTTATTTTCCAAATGAAGGCAATTACACATCTTGCCCAAGGTCACAAAACTAGTTAAGTATCAAAGATTAAACCAAAACTCAACTCTCTTGACTCCTAACCTGGTTTCCATACCACTACATTAGGTGCTAAAAATATAGTGTTGTCTGTTCTTGGGAGCTACAGCACAGCATCCCTCAAGAACCTGGAAATAAAGAAATAAAATTGCCTTCTGAGAGTTACACTGTGAAACAGACATGTAATGAGTCAGTTACCTTAAAGAACTAGAATTGCTTTTAAACTAAAGGGACCATTACTGATTAAATAGTTTAACATTTCTAAAGAAAGAAAATGTTAATAAGAAAAGGCAGACATAGAGGCACTCCAAAAGGATACTCCAAAAGTAAAAGTTGAGCAAATGAATCTTAGGGCCTGGCATCTAAGCCAGTGAACTGTTAGAATTCCAGAACTTCTTGGCTTCATGGATGCATCAGAAGCTGTTAGCTGATGACAATAAACATTTGTTTAATCTCATCAACTCAGTTTTTATCAGAGAGGCCTTTCTTTTGTCACTGCACTTTATATTACAATCATGATTATAAAACAGCCTTATAATTAGTAACTAATTTTCCATGCAACTCTGCCTTTCTGTAGAAGAAAAATCTCTTATACTATATACTTCCCACAGTCTGGTCCCGATGTTAGCTATTTTTTATTGAAAATTAGTTGACCTTCTGATTGCAAGCTGACTTTTATAAAGCTTACTTTGGAAGACGATTTCACTGACATAGATATTCTGGTCTCTATGATTGTCACATTTAAAAAATAATTTTAAAAATGTTCTGTGTGCAGTGGCTCACTCCTGTAATCCCAGATTTTGGGAGGCCAAGGCAGGAGGATCACTTGAGCCCAGGAGTTCAAGACAAGCCTGTGCAACATAGCAAAATCCCATCTCTACAAAAATAAAAATAAAAATAAAAAACTACGTGCCACCACACCCAGGTAACTTTGGGAGGCTGAGGTGGGAGGCTGAAGTAGGAGGATTGCTTGAGCCCAGAAGGTCAAGGCTGCAGTTAGCTATGATTTTGCCCCTGTACTCCAGCTTGGGTGACAGAGTGAGACCCTGTCTTGAAGTAAATATACTCTGAATTGTGATTTTATGTATCAGTCTCCCTAACTTGGTTAATTGAATGTGAGTCTCTTCTGCACCTTCCTTACTTCCACTAAATATGGAGATGCTCTTAATGTTTCAGTTGTAAAACAAAATCAGCCATACCAGGGCTTCCTAGCATCATTCTGTACCTAAAGTGCTGCATAAGAGCAAGCTCCAAAGGAGGCTCCTAAATCAGGGAAGAAGGACATGCTTCTTTTTTAATAGAGTCTTAACAGGAGGTTTCAGGTGAAATTCAGCATGTTAGGAAACAGTGGGTCAAGGATAATTCTGGGTTCTCATAGAAGGAAGGAATCTCTCTTGCAGATTATCTGCCATTGTTTTGGTGACTTAGATTTTTATCAAGAGGCAATGAGAAGGGCACTTGTGGTTAAGGTCACTTGCAATAGGGAGTACAGAGAAACAGCTACGCAGAATGGGACACAAGATAGGCCAAGAAGAGGAGTCTCAGTCTTTTGATGTGCCGCAACACAAGCAAACCAGGCTTCTAAGTCAGCCAGCCAGAGAGCTAAACACACACTCCATGGCTTTCTGATTTATCAAGCACAGTTGGTTGCAAATTGTTTTTAATGCTTGTATGGACGCATTTATGTATGTTTCAGTAAGTGATGCTTTGGTGGTTTCTCCCTTTTAAAGCGTTGAATAAACGTTAACAAAGCACTCGGGGAAAATTATTTGTAGTAAGATAGCTTCTTTGCTTCCTATTTATTTGTTTTACTCCTGACTTGTCTTTTTAAATTATTTCACCTTGGAAGAGAAATCTTAGGAAAGTTTATTGTGACAACTTCAAACCTCTATTGTACTATAGTCAGATCTGGAATAAATAATGAATTTTAAGGAACAAAAAGAGCAACGTAAACTATCAAAACATACTGGCATTGTGATGGCATAAAAACACCTGAATTTAAGTCTGAGAGTCAAAAACTCCTCCCTAACATTGAGGTATCACTCAGTTACCACAGAAATGAAAATGAGCCATTGAAGGTGAATAGAGAAAGACTGGTGTGACTTTTATGTTGGGCAGGAAGCAAATTATGATGGCAGGTGAAGGTATTGATGATGAGAAGGAGAAAGATTAGCTCCAGACGCAGGAAGTAGGGTCGGTAAAAATGAAGGAAAAAACTGAGATAAAGTGTTCCTTGGTTGAGACTCATATGATGCCTCACTACAGTTACCAGGGATATTTTCCCTTAACAAAGTGGCAGAGTCATCTATTGAAATACAAGGGGGTACCTCCTTAGGCATCAAGGAGGTCTCATTTATTGGCAAGTAGAATGGAGGATCACTCTCATAATTAACTACATTCTCTAATCAGCCTAAAGTTTGAGAGTGAATGAGGAAGGACTTGTTACACTAACATTCTAAGCGGAGAGAGAGCACAACAACATAATCTGGGGTCTCCAATAATAAGAGTCACGGGTATCAGCATTTTACTCCAGCATTCTAGAGGAGCTTGTCTCAAACTCCGTGTAAAGCACTGAAGCAAAGCATAATGAATGATTGAGGCTCTCTTTTTTTTTCTGAAAAAAAGAAAAAAATGAGAGAAGACCTGGGATTTGAGCATGTAGTCAGGTGTGACTGCAGAGTGTTTCAAACCTCTTGACTGCGGGAGTAA